CTGAGAAGTGTGGTAGCAGAAAGCTGACCTCACCTGTGGAGTCAAGGGGACTCCAGACTCCTACTGAGGTATAATAGGGCACTTCCCCTGGAGCAGATGCAGTGAGGGGAAGGGAGACAGAGAGAGAGGGAGTGGGTTGGGTACATTTATTGATCCCACTGGGGATGCTGGAGGAAGAGGAGTCTGTGTAGGAGGAAGAGGTCTCAAGAAGACAGCCACTCCAAGCAGTACCCCTCCCTCTTCGAAGAGGCATAACATCTTAACTTTGTCAAAGAAGCGAGGTCTTGAGAAAAGGCACTTGCTTAGAAATAGCTCCCATTACCTGATAGTCTCCTCTTGCTCCCCCTCCCCCATGCTAATCTTTAGGACTGTTAATATGCATAGTTGTTCTTTTCCCACAGGTGGAAGAATTGTCAAGGGACAAAACACCCCATCAACAGGGAAGTCGATGAAGGCATGTCAGGTGAAGAGAGTCCAGCCTTATCTAGTTTAGGACACAAGTGTGTCACATCGATGTCAGTGAAGTCTTTAACTGGTCACTAAGTCCAGTTTTCTCCTGACCCATGGTCTGATCTGAGTCTTGGGTTAAAGTCCTGGCCTGGCTGTGGTGGTGCAAGCAGTAGGGCACGACTTGATGCTGGAGCTACGTGAAAGGTTTGGTTCCCAGACCAACCCGAACACTCTGGGCACAGCAGCATGCCTGTGACCCTGCTGGCTGGGAGGCTGGGAGGCTGGGGCAGGTGAAAGGCAACATGGTGGTCCCTGCTGGAGGGACCTGTTTATCTGTCTGTCTTACTTTCTCTTTGAAAAATAAATACATAAACGTTTTTTTTTTTTTTAGAGAGATTTTTGCTATAGGACATGTGCCCTCACTGGAGAGACAGACAGAAATCACCCCCCGGGAGGATGGCCACTCCACAATCCCTTTTCCTCCATTCTCAGGATTTGGGGCAGGCACGCACACACACACCCGGTGTGAGTTTCAAGTCTCCGGGTCCAGGACTTAAACTGCTGTTGGCCATGTGGGAGTTCAGCAATGTAACCATTATGTCATCTGTTGGCCTCAATAAATAAACTTTAAAATAAAAAAATAGTCTTCCCTTAGTCCAGTCTGATCCAGCTGAGTTCCCTTTCCTTAAATATGGTTCTTATGTCACCAGAAAGGCTGGTTTTTTTCTGCCTTTCTGGGTCTGCTCCAAACTTGACTGTGCTCCTTCCCTCTTCTTTGCTTTCTAATTTTCTTTTATCCATTTTTATCTCTTATGGAGGAGCTAAAAAACAGACCTCAGCAGGGCCATGGTCATTTTATGTGAGTAGGAGAGGGCATCCCACACTCAGTACACACGTGAGGAGTAGTGCATGCCATACACAACCCAATCACCTCCACAAGCTGGACACGAGGCCTCTGTGAGAAGGCCATGCAGGGTCTGAGCTTAAGCATGTGACTTCTCTGGGCCTTAGTGTTTTCTGAGAAATGAAAGAGTGAGGAAAGATATTCTCTAAGATCATGACCACTTAAGACATTTATTTAATGTGGGGTTTATTTATTTACTTTTGGTACGTGTGTATTTCAGTAAAACCTTATTTTATTATTTTATGCATTCAATCACTGTATATCATTACAGTTTGCAAAATAAAATTTCCCAGCATGAATATACTGTATATTAGTGCAGATAAAGATATTATCATACACATTATCAACACATAATTTTCCATTTTTGTGTCCCTTAAATGTTTTACTTCTTTTCCCCCTTGATTCCCTTCCTCTCATCCTCCTCCACTTCCCCCCCTCCTCCTGCACTGTCTCTAGTACCCACCATTGTTCTCCATGCTTTTATATCGTTTAGCCTTTCAGTTTCTGCCGTGGAGTGCAGACATTCAGTATATAATAAGTGAGGACATACAACGTCTCTCTTTCATGATTTGGCTTGCTTCGCTTAGCAGTAAATCTTCCACATTAATCCACTTTCTTTTTTCTAAATAATTATTTTTCTTAACTTTTTTTTTTTTTAATTTGACAAGAGAGGGATAGAGTGAGAGAGAGAGAGGAAGTGAGAGAGCAAGCTGCCAGGTCTAGGACTCAAATCACGGTTGGCCATGTGGGAATTCAGCAAACTTAACCACCTGCCCACCCTATATTCATCCACTTTATATAAAATGCCAGGGTCTCATTTTTTTAAAGACTGAGTAGTATCCCATAGTGTATATGTGCTATACTTTTTCAATCCACTCATCTGTTCATGGACATTTGGGTTGGTTCCATGTCTTAGCAATGAACATAGATGTATATGGATGTACAAGCACTTTTCTGACTGTGTATTCCTATCCTTTGCGTAGATACCCAGGAATGGAATTGCTGGATCATACGATAGTTCTATTTGTAGGTCTTTGAGGAACCTCCATATTATTCTCCACAGTGGTTATTCTAACTTACATTCCCACCAACAATGTAGGAGAGTTCCCTTTTTGCCGCAGCCTTGCCAACACTTATTTTATTATTATTTTTTTAATCTTAGTCTGTGGTTTACGTCATGACTAGATAGAATTCCAGATGTTTTTGACCATTGCAGACCCAGAGTTCTGGAATAAGATTGGCAACTCACTTTGGAGGGCTCAGGTCACAGAACTCCCATATACCAGAGGTTCTGGGTTTCCACTAAAGGGCTACTTGTTCATTTCGGCAAGAAAGAGTTCATGATTATTAGGGGAATTCTGAAATAATAAGCTAGAAAAGCGAGGTGCAGGAGGAAGGTTTCTCTGTATAGCCTTGTAAAATGAGCCACGGTTGGGAGGGAGGGGATCTGTAATAGCCATGTCTAAGACCACCACTGTCTCCCATCTCCTAAGGCAGGAAGCAGGGCAAGATCCAGGGGTCCAGAGACTTTAGATAATCAGGAATTCTTCAAAATCATGATCACTTCGATATACTTTATCTTTTCAAGAATTATTTATTTAATTTTATTCATTATTATTATTTTTAAAATTTGGCCAGTGAGGGGGATGGGGGGAAGACAAAGCAAACCACCAGGTCTGGAACTTGAACAATGGTCAGATACGTGGGAGTCCAGCACCCTAACCAGCAGACTACCTGCTGGTCCCCGAAACACTTAAAAAAAAAAAGAAGAAAAAGACAAGATTAAAAATATGTTAATAGGACTGGTAGATGGCATGGTGGTTAAGGGCGCTGGACTCCAACATGGCTGACTGTGGTTCAAATCCCAGAACTGGCACCTCGCTTTCTCACTTTCCCTGTCTCTATCTCTCTCTCACTCTGTCCTTCTCTGGTCAAATTAAAATAAATAAATTAAATAAATAAAGTAAAATAAAATAAGTCTTTAAAAAACACGTTGATCTTATAAAACAATAGAAAAATGTTTCCTCCACATGATAAAGGTAGTTGGATCTCCATGACTGGTGAGCTTTATTTAGTGAGGCAAATCTAATCAGTTGGGGCAGTTACTCTTGGTATTTTGTAATCAATTCAACAGTCCTACAATAAAGAAGAATCAGAAAGCGTATCCCCAGTGTTTATCTATTTAGACATATTCTCCTAAAATTAGAAGCTGAAAATTATATCAGCAATATTTATTATTATTTGTCATTGTTAAGGAAGTCTGGTCAAATCAATAAGATATGAAAGGAAATGGCAGTTAAGGAATTTGAAAAGGAAGAAACTACATTATCTGTGACTTTTTTTTTTTTTTTTTTTTAGATTTTTTTGCCCGGGGGCATATACCCTCGCCCAGCGTATCCCCAGTGTTTATCTATTTAGACATATTCTCCTAAAATTAGAAGCTGAAAATTATATCAGCAATATTTATTATTATTTGTCATTGTTAAGGAAGTCTGGTCAAATCAATAAGATATGAAAGGAAATGGCAGTTAAGGAA